GGAGGAGGGAAGGGGGGAGAGAGAGAGACACACACACAGGAGAGTTGCTGTTCCACAGCGTTTGGAGCCTTTTTTCGGGCCTGGGAAGGAAGTGAAGTGAAGAGAGTGTGAAAAGAGTGTGAAGATGTTTCGTGCTTAGTTTAGGGTTTTGGAGTTTGTGTCTTTCTGTGTGTGTCAGAGGAGGTGGAGGAGTCGTTTCAGTGGGACAAGTCCCTGAGTTGTTGACCACTAGCAGTGGCAAAATCTTGGTGATCAGAGGCGCGGAGAGGGAAGGGCCCGCCGCCGCAAGGACCCTCTATGACCCCAATTGGGATTGACGATGTCGGGAAAGTTAGAATGCGTGGGGCATCGGATCTCAACGATTCGGTTTCGGAGAGTTCCTCGCTGATATACGCATGAAGGCTGGACGACCTCTTTCTATCGCCTGTACTCCGCCTTTGCCACCACCACCACCATCACCACCATGCCCATGGTCCATGGTGTTGCTGCACGTGATATGTCTGGCGGGATAGCAGGGGGGTATCAATCGTACACAGCGGTTGGCTGCCGCCGAATGGAGGTAAAGGGCGCAACGTCTTGTCAGTGGATGTATAAGGGGGGTGGCATTTCATGCCTGTTGTTCTGTCTGTCTGCTTGTCAGTCCGTGTGGGCTTCGTTGGGGGCTTGGGCGGTGGAAGGTGGTTGGTTGGATGGACGGGGGTTGAGGATGCCTGAAAGCGTCGAGCGACCGCGGAAACCGTCTTTTAGGATGGATTTCCCGTTCGGTGCCTTTTGTTATTTGCGTCGTTGAGAGGGCACATGAGTAGACTGGCAGCACTGACGCGCCCGATGCTGTTCCTGCTGCTGCTGTCGCGAAGGTTTACTTCAATAATTATTTTGTACTGCATATTGTTTGTTAAGATGCTGTAAATATTTTGTTTTGTTCACTGCAAGCACCATGTGACGGGTCGGTTGGCTGGTCTGGGAGTTCAAGGCATCAACGGCTGGCAATGCGAGGAGATGTGGGATTCTTATCTCGATCTCGGTTTGCATTATTATTACATGTTTCCGTTCGTTTTCCTACATGTTTTGAGCTGTGGAATATCACTGTCCAACCTTAAGCTGAGGATGTTGTAGGCTTACGGTAGGCTTCTAGAAGCCGATCGCGATCTGCATCAGAAACAAGTACGTCATGACACTCTGGTACAGCAGTAGGGCTGGCGTCATTCATTCCCGAGTAAGCAACTTAATCCTGTTTGCCTCTTCCCTTGCCCTCCCCAAAATTCGTCCCAGCTGCATAACCAGTCCCTCCTCTACGAGCTGTGTCGTCTTGTCATTTCCTGTCCCTGGGCCGCCTGCGCCCTCCTCGGTCGTCTCCTTTAATGTACCTCCACTCCGCGACCCCAAACCTCCGCCACCCGGTCTTCCCAAAGGAGAGGTAACGTTCTTGGCGCCATCGCCCTTCGCTGCGTCGCTCATCACGCTCCACCCGAACCCAGTTTACCGTAAGCGCCCCCCATTTTCCCAAACACGGAGTATTCATAACAAACGCTGCATGCGGTTACCCCGTTCGGCCTGCGCTGCGCCATATAGCTACGTACATGCGCACACGCGTACATCACCCTCGACCCTGCACTGCCAGGTTAAGTGGTGGTGGGTCCAACCTTAACCTTAACTCGTCATCGTCAAACCAACCTGACCGCGTTCTTCGTTCGACCGGTAACTCAGGACAGCGAATCCTAACCGTTAAGCTTGCCAAAGGCATATGACCACAACTTACAACATCATCATCGTCATCATCATCATCATCACTGCTGCTGCCGCTTACCCCATCTGTTAAGGGCACCGTCAGTGCTGCCATTCAACTAGTTGAACTCTACAACTGTGTCACCACCAGCGCTGAGGTGAGCGCCAGGTGAGACATAGCCAGGTAGGGGTGATACAACCCCTAGCAACAGGTCCTTTGCCCCTCCGGTGATGTGGGACCGCTGGGCCATCCACCGTGTGGGGCAGCACAACCAGGTGTAAATAAAAGACGCACTGACAGGTAGACGGACCGACAGACAGGCCAGAGTATTTTAGCTAGCGGTGCCGCCGCGCACAAGGAAGACAGCGAGACGACGACCGGAAGCGGCTCTTGGCGGGGAGCAGAGCAGGCCAACCAACCACCCCCCAAAGGGTTTCAAGGCCTTCGCAGTACGGGTGTCGTACAACACCAACAACACAGATCACCATGCAAGGCCGTTCACGTTCTCTTCTGAACCCCTGAGCACATCCCTAACATCTACAAACACATATAATACGGCATGCATTGCAACTTTATAATGGAGTGTTTGAATTTTGCTGATTTCTTTAGGCTCCCGATATCAGAGTGCCACAGGTGCACTGGCAGGTAAAGCCCCCTACCCCTCCTCCTCCTTCGCGTATCCCCCCTCTGACAACCATTCGCATTCCCAACCCCATGGCAATGGCAATGGCAATGGCGGGTTGGCGAAACAGGGCAATGCACCTCAGCCACCTG